TGTGGCGGGGGGGGGGGGAGGATGGGAAGGGATGGGAAGGGGAAACAAAGGAGGAGGAGGAGGCAACAATGCTTGATAAGAAATGTACTCATTACCTTGCTTATGTAATTGTAACCCCTCGGTACGGTATTTTCACAATAGAAATAATAATAAAAATTCTCTTTGTGTTTCCCATCAGAGAGATGATATTCCAAGGGACTTTGAAGCTTCTGATTCCATACGACTATAGCATGTGCTAAAGTCTCATAAAGGAGGGACTATATGTGTGTTGGGTATGTATGTATGTGTGTGTGTGTGTGTGTGTGTGCGCGCGCGCGCGCGCGAGAGAGAGAGAGAGAGAGAGAGAGAGAGAGAGAGAAAGAGAGAGAGAGAACTATGCCAAAAAGGACAATAGATGGCTTTCCTTGAACACTTACCACATGAAAATGAACCACGCTAACTGAACACATTATATGTACTCTTTCATTAAGTCCATACAGTCACCTTTATCATTATCCCAATTTTATAAGATGAAGGTCCCTTTGATTCAGAGAAGTTAGATTCACCTCCTATCACCCTTCCATCACTATGTCTCTAGACTTTTCCAGGTCAGTCCTTCTCTTTCCCTACAATTAAAATTCACAAGGGCTCCATCCATATTCCTCAGGTTTATTTCAGGGGAGGATTCTCTGAAGCAGCATGGAAACTGACAATGTGGCATAATGTGTGGCCTTTTCCTTTTATGTATCAAGACCTACACTGTGCTTTTAGCCATAAGACTCAGAAGCAATGCCCCAGTCTTACTAGTTGTATAATCTTAGGCAACTTAAGTTAGCCATTTCAGCCTGTTACTGCCTTAATGAAAAGAAATGACAAAAGCAAAACAAAACAAAACAAAAACCATGCTTGCCTACAGATTGGGAATAGGCCAGTTGCTATCAGTCCCATTTCTGTTCTTTGAAAACCTTAGGAATATTAGATGAATGAGGTTGTGTTCTGGACCCAGAATTGCAGGCTCTAATTGCCCTTTTCTAATGACAGAGCTCACATTCTTCTAAAATATTTTATCCACCAAGTTTGTTTTCTCTTACTTGTTCCCTTTGGAGTGACAGGTTTAGACATTACTTTGGCATTTGCTTCAGGTAATTTTTCTCCATTAATAATTGCTAACAAAAGTAATTAAATTTCCTTTGATCTTTAGCTTACCATTTGGGATCCCAGCCCTTATCATCTAACTACATACCTAGTCCTCAAAAGAGCTAAATTAATCTTGGTTTCCAAAACAAATTAAAATTTTCCCTCTAATTTCAAGTAGTTTTTCTCCAGTGGTTTACTCTGTCCTTTGTACTTAAATTTCAACTATGTTTTTCATTTTGGAGGTTATTGCAAATGTTGAACCTTTACTAAAGCTCTCCCTGATTGTTTCAGACAGATTTATTTGACATTTCTTATATCTATGTCCCATAGAAATGTATTGTGTCCCCCTGCTCTTCTGTGGATTGTTGCTCTTAGTAGTTCTTCTGACATTTTATCAGATTTCACACATCTTGAGGCCCAAGACCCAAGATTCCTTATTGCCACACAATAGTGGCAGGGGAAGATGAGGGTTATAGCTATGACTTACGTCACATGACCAAGTTCAAAGCTCATCTACATGGTAGGTTAGATGCATGGCTTTGGGGAAACTAATCAGCCTGTACACTTTCTATCCTTACCTGTACCTACCACACAGGGATCTTGTGAAAAGTAAATGAGATTCTCTATAAAAACAACTTAGCCAGTATTCAGTATGTTTTAGACACAGTTTGCAGTGTCTACAGTGAGTTCTCTCCATTGAATAATTCAATAAGTATTTATTGAGTATTACATTAGTCTGCATGGGCTAAGATAAGAAAATACCATAGACCATATGACTTAAAAACAGTTTTATTTTTTTATTTATTCATTTTGTTTTAGACAGTGCTAATATTTGAACTCAGGGGCTCATGTTTGCAGAGCTGGCATTCTGCCACTTGAGCAACACCTCCAGCTCTACTTTTACTGGTAATTTTAGAGATGGAATCTTACAGACTTTCTGCTCAGGCTGAGATTTTAGAGCTACCTTTATTTCAGATCTCAGCCTTCTAAGTAGCTAGGATTATAGCCAGGAATCACCAGTACCAGGCCCTACAGTACACACTTGTAGTTTAGGAGGCTGGGAAACTTAAAACCAGAAAGGCAACATTTTGGATCCTAGTAAGTACTCCCTTCCTGGTTTGCAGTTAGCGGTCTTCTAGTTGCATGGAGAAAGCACTCTCTTGCCCCAGTTTTTTTCTCTCTCTTTCCTCATCTGTTTCCTTTCCTCCCTCATATCCTTTACTTCTATCTTATTTTTCCCTCCTTCTTCCTTTTGTCCCTCCTCTTCTTCATCTTAATCTTCTTCCACTGCTGCTACTACTTCCACAAGGAGGGTCTTACCAATCCTCATGACCTCATCCATCTCTAATTACCCCTCCCCTAAAAACTCTATCTCCAACCACCATCACAATGCACTTAGGGTTTCATCACATTAATTTTTAAAGGAATGCAACACAGTCTGTATCAACTACGTACACATTGATCTAATCTAGGGATACAGCAATGAATGAGACCAAAGATTATGTAACATATGTCTATAACCTGTGAATACTTTACATTCCTTTGGCAAAGAGGAATTAGGTTGAGATGGAATTGTTTACTAATCAGCTGACCTTAGGGAGATAAACCTGGACTGGCTGGGTGTAATCAGTAAGATACTTGTAAGTGGAAGAAGGCACAGAGATCATAATGTTCACCTTGGGTTGTTGATTTCAAAAAGGACAAAGGGAAAGGCTGGGAAGGTGGCTCAGTGGTAGAGTGCTTGCCTTGCATGCACGAGACCCTAGTTCGATTCCTAAGCACCACATAAGCAGAAAAGGCTGGAAGTGGCGCTGTGGCTCAAGTGGTAGAGCGCTAGCCTTGCGCTGAAGAGCTGAGGGACAGTGCCCAGGCCCAGAGTTCAGGCCCCACGACTGACAAAAAAAAAAAAAAAATGGAGAAAAGGGACAACAGGTCAAGGAATCCAGGTGGCCTCTAAGAAGCTAGTTAAAAACAAGAAATTGACCCGGGCACTGGTGGCTCACGCCTGTAATCCTAGCTACTCAGGAGGCTGAGATCTGAGGATCGTGGTTCAAAGCCAGCCCGGGCAGGAGAGACCGTGAG